AGTCCATTGTTGTAGCCACTGTGTCAGTCCATCTCATTGAGAGCCTCTTTCTTTTTTGTTGACCCTCTACTTGACCAAACATGATGTCCTTCTCCAGCGATTGGTTCCTCCTGATGGTGTGTCCAAAGTGAGATGAAGTCTCGACATCCTTGTTTCTAAGGAGCATTCTAATTTGTTTGTTGTTCTTCTGGCAGTTCATGGTATGTTCAGTATTCTTCACCAACACCACAATTTGAATGTCACTTCTTTAGTCTTCCTCTTTCATTGCCCAATTTTCGCTTGCTTTTGAGGCAATTGAAAATACCAGTAGCACTTGTTAAAGACTCTTGTTCTTGTTGTTGTTAGTTGCGTCAAGTTTCCACCTTAACGGTGACCCCGTGTGTGCAGAGTAGAACTGCTCCATAGGATTTTCAAGGCTGTGACCTTTCAGAAGCAGATCACGAGGCCTTTCTTCCGAGGTACCTCTGGGTAGGTTGGAACCGCCAACCTTTTGGCTACTGGTCAAGTGCTTAACTGAAAGACTAACCATTATTATTAATGGCTAAGTGAATGAATCAGGCTGGAGTCTGAGGTTGCAGATAATACCCTCAGCTTACTCCTCCAAAAAACCACCCTCACAAGGAGCATGAATGTGGTAGATCAATACCGACACAAGCTCTGTGTAAAAAAGAACACTGTGAGTCTGGATAACATTAGGCACAATATATAATTGTGTTCAGTACACCAAAAAATATTCTACCTCTATGAACTCCTGCAGGGGAGTGGAACTAAAATATGAAAAATAACTACCATAAAAGCACCATAGCTCCTTTTTTTGATGTTTCATTGTCATTGTAAGATTTTAAAGTATGAGTACCCTTCAAAAGTATTTTATTTTCAATAAGTTGTAATAGATCATCTTATAACTTATATGCATTAAAAATTCCCATTCGGTTTTAAAAAATTTAATATTCGTAGTTGTATGAAGTAGAAAGTATTATCCTTTTCCTGAAGAGGAAACTGATACTACAGAATAATTAAGTACCTAAAATAGGACCTCATATGTTGTGGACACTCAGTAAATACTGTTGAAACAATAAATAATTTACTTGTCAAGGTCAAACAACTAGTAAGTAGTGGAACAGGGATTCAAGTCTGTCTCTGACTCCTGAGTAGTAGATATTCTTCTTACCAACTTACCCTCACTCAGAGCTATCCAGGAATTATAGAACTAGACCAAACTGATGTTCTTCTAAAGTAGTCTGGCCATCAAGGCTGGTCCTGGCAAACCTTTCTGCAAAGTTATTGCATAAGTCTGCCAATCAAGATCAAGAAACATGTCTAAGGAATGGCATAAAGGCAAGCACTAAAAATATTAAACGTGTAGACTCATACATAAAGATAACGCAGGATTTATATAATAATGAAGACTCCTGCAACTCTGAGCTCCTTAGCCTAACATTTGAAGCCCTCTATAATGTAAGTCCTTTAGATTTTTTAAGTTTCCTCTTTCACAAACCCCTTTACATCCCTTTACACTTCTTCCTTATTGCTTTGTCTGTCTTTCCCCATATTCTCCAATCTCCATCTCTGCTCAAATTATTCTTTGTTTGAAATCACCCTCCATATCTACTTGTCAAATTACTATCCATCTTTCTTCAAGCCACTTCAGAGTAATCTCTCCCATTTCCGCAATTGACCATATCTGTTTGAACTTCTCTGACAGTCTGTCTTGAGGTCAGTGATTGTGTTTTTTGTTTTTTTTTTCTATTATTACAAATAATAAGAATGAAATATTTACAGAATTAATGAATGAATGAGTGAACTCCTAGCAGGCAATCTTATTCATCTTTGTAGCTCCCCAAACAGCCTAGCGTTTTGGGAGATGGGATGCTGAGTTATAAAGAATATAGAATCAAATCTAAGTTAGAACTGGGTTCTACTTCTTAGTTACTGCATGACCTTGGACACTTACTTAACCTTTCTAAACCGCAATTTTATTATGAATAAAATGACACCACACAAGAAGGCTCAAAAATGAGAATCAGTAGTTCTTTATACAGAGCTATTCCTTAAATGTTTATAGGATTGAATTGAATCACCTCGTAGTATGCCATACAGACCCTTTTACCATTTCCTGAACATGGTCATTTTTCTGGCCTTACTGCACTTGATGTCTCAGCAGCATTTGGCATAATTGACTGTGCCCTTGTAACAGAAACAGTTACTTCTTTTGGCTCCCTTATGCTAGACTTTCTTGATTTTTCTCTTATCTCATGGTTATCAATCTCCTTTACCCTGACTCCTCCTCTGCTTCAAATAATTGGAATGCCCCAGGGCTCCATCTTGGCCTCTTTGCTTTTCTCCAGGTACACTGTTTCCCTAGGTGATTTCTTTTAGCCACAAAGTCTAAATACTATCTACTTGCTTTAGATTCTCCTCCTCTGAGCTCTCTTGCCTTATCTTCAGCTCTTACATCCAACTGTAAATAATATCTCTTTTTGGATGTCTAATAGGTATCTCAATCTTAACAAATTCAAAACTTTACTCTCAGTTTCCCCCACCCAGCCTGCTTCTACCCGGTTTTCCTCATCTCGCTAAATGACAATTTCATTCTTTAATTTACTTAGGCTAGAAACCTTGGGGCTTTTTTTTTCTCTCACACTTCATCTGTGAATTGTCTGGATTCTACCTCTAAAATATATCCTGAACCTGACGACAACTCACCGTTTCCACTTCTGCCACCTTCATCTAAGCTTCCATCCCTTCTTACTTGGATTAGCCTCCTATCTACTTTCCTGCCTCCATTCTTGCCTGACTGTAGCCAGAGCAGCCAGAGTAACCTTTGGTTTGATCTTAGCATTTCCTTCTTCAAACCCTCTAATGACTTTACTTTGTAATTACTATAAAAATCCAAATTTCTTATTATGGTCTACAGGGACCCACATGATCAGACCCCTGCTGTCTCTTTCTCAGAGAGGCCTTGCCCAACTATTCCGTTGATAGTAATTCCCTTTACCTCACCACTTCATTACCTTTTTATCTTGTAATCCTTTTCTGTTTTGTTGACAGCACTTAGCACTCTGAAATTATTTATTCACTTACTTGATTATTGTTTGTCGCCCTTACTGAAATGTAAGTTTCAAGAAGATAGGGATCATGTTTTTCTTGTTCACCACTGTATCCCTAGCAAATGGAACAGTGTCATGCACATAGTAGGTGCTCAGGAAATATGTGTTAACTGAGTGAGTGAATGAACATGCTGTCTTCTTCTACCTGTTATTTTCAAAACAAAGCAAAAATTTCATCTCTTCCAAGTGCTAAACTCTGAACTCCTACTTATCCTTCATATCTCAGTTTATGTATTTCTTATCTTCTGAATCTTTACCCTAACCCTTTTTCCAGACTTACTGAGACAAAGTTAAGTACATCCTTCTCAGTTCTCCTTATACTTTTTTTTTTTTTTTTCAGTTTATCAGTTTTACCTATTACATTATACTATGGTTGTTTATATATCTATCTACCCCCATTAGACTCTGAAGTTTTTCATGGACAAGAACTGTGTAATGTTCCAGTTGGTTCCCTTAGCACTGAGCATTGAGTTAATGTTGATAAATAAATGAATCAAAAACAAAATCTAACTCCCATGGTAGTTTTCTATAAAGTAACATTGTTGCATGAGATACAAAGATGAGTAAGACTCTTGTGTTCAGAAAATTCGCAGTTTATTCATTATTCGATTAATAGTTATCTTCAGTGCGTCAGGCATTATGCTTAAGTGCTAAGGATACAAGGGCAAAGGTTCCTGCCTCAAGAAACTCTATTTTAGTGGAATATAATTTCCTTTGATTTTGATCAATAGCATTTCATCCTATAAATTAGTGTTTCCTAGGTATTTTAAGTTTATAATTAACCTTTGAACTCATGAGAGACAACAGGACAGCCTTTTGGGATAGTTTTGCTGCCTAATTTTAATCTTTATGTTGCATATATGTCTTCACATAGTTACAGCTTGGCAAAGGAGGAGTGAGAGCCTTGTATACATCCAAAATATTTTCCTAATGCCATATGCATGGCATAATTACATTCAAGATGGACAGTACACATTATTCAGTGGGGTAATGTTAGATTTTTGTTTTCCATACTGGTGAAAAAGTATTTTCTCAACATTGTCATAAATAAAATTAATCTGAATTTTGACTGAAACCATGCCTTTGTATTATGGTATTGGCGAAGAATATTGAATATACCATGGACTGCCAGAAGGAATATATCTGTCTTGAAAGAAGTACAACCAGAATGTTCCTTAGAAGCGAGGATGGTGAGTCTTCGTCTTGTGTACTTTGGACACATTATTAGGAAGGACCAGTCCTGGAGAAGAACATCATGCTTGGTAGAGTAGAGGGTCAGCAAAAAAGAGGAAGACCTTCAATAAGATGGACTGACACAGTGGCTGCTACAATGGGCTCAAACATAACGACTGTGAGGATGGCACAGGACTGGGCAGTGTTTTGTTCTGTTGTACATAGGGTCACTATGAGTTGGAACCGACTCAGTGGCACCTAACAACAACACTACATGCATAAGTATAAACAATAGTTTTATGTTTCTTCTCTTCCAGAACAGTTATTTTTATAAGAATTGAACCAGTCTTTGAGTATACATTTTAGTAGCGTATTTGAAATTTGATAAAACTAGATGCTTGACAAATTTGGTTCTGTTGGAGGAAATACATACGTAGACAATAGCATATGACTTTCCTTACAGAAAATTCTTATGTATGCAGAATGTTTAGAACTGAAGTCTAAAAACACCTTGGTAGAGAAGGAGTTAACAGGTTAGCTCCCCTTGGTTGTTCTCAGCGTGCTTTCTTGCCTTTAGGAGTTGAAAAGATGATAACATTGGGTCCGGACATGCCTGTGTGGAGGTTAGGGTACTCCTGGGGTTTTTGCAGCTAGCTGTAAAGCATGCTAGAACTTGTTCATCCCTGAGTTCCTTGTTTTTGCTTTCAACCCTTTCAGTGCCCTGCAGGAGTCATTAAATCAAAACTTCATGCTGATCATCACCCACCGAGAAGTCCAGCGGGAGTACAACCTGAACTTCTCAGGAAGCAGTACCATTCAAGAGGTGAGTTATGTCTCACAGCTAAGGAATAAAGGTAGCTCATTATAGCTAATGTTGACCCTGTTAAAGAGGGCTTAACTGTTCTGGTTGGAAACTCTCTTTATGTTTCATTACTGGGTTCTTAATTTTAATTAACTGGAGCATCAGTGATTACTGTAGATAAACTAAATGACGACCTAGAAAGATAGATGTTGTAAATGGGAGCTCTTGATAATTCTGAAAATACCAATTTAAACCCCTGTTAAAAAATAACTCAATATTATGTGATATATTTTATGGTTTTGTAGTAATTATTCACAATATTAATTTGCAAATTGTTGACAGGGTGCATTTTGGAGAATATATTTATTTGAAAAGTTTTTCTCAAATACATTATTTATAATATGTACCCTGCCTGTTGCTAAAAAGAATATGAGGTGGCATTTCTTAAGCAGTTCAATCCCAGGCTTGGACAGTATTCATTTTTAAAGTAAAAAGTTTCTGGAGACCCTCATTTAGCTCAGAGTATCTGAGAAGAGTTTACTTATAATGTTATTATTTTCTTCAACGTGGCCAACCAGGCCCACTATTTCAAAAAAGAACTTCCCCCAAGAGAGAAGAGGCATGTTCTTGGTATGCCTGTGGCCCCACCCAGCTAAAAGTCAGTCATTTCTTTCCATGGGAAAAAAATGCGTAAGGCTATGACAAGACTTGTGTTTAGAAACACTGAAATGGTGACTATGTCACATTACCTTGTAAGTTGTGAAGGCAACAATCATTTGTCTACTAATGCTTTTTAAAAGAGAATCATTCTTAATCTTGGATTATTTCATAGATTTGTTCTTAGACCATATAGCTTTAAATAATTACTTATGTCATGCTGAAAAAATAAGCCACTTTCACCCTAATAATTTTTTCAGAGATGTGTGAATTGTTTCGGTAACGACTGAGCTATTAATGGTTTATTTTTTTTCCTATGTGGTCAATGAATTTCAGCTTCTGACTTTGACATAAATAACTTTTATTGCTTTAAGTTTATTTTCTCTGTGTATCACTTGAGTAGTTTGTTGACTGGTAACTAAAGTCTTTAAATCTTTTTCTGAAGCCTAATTTGAATCGTAGATTTGAATTATTTGATTTTTTTCAAGATTTTAAATATGTATACATTTAAATATATAAATGTTTCATTTTTAACCCCCGTAGTGTGTATTCTTCTGTTCTCTAAATTTAAAATTTTATTTTTTAAAGCATTATTGTTTTTACATTAGAAATAATGTTTTAATATTATATCTCAGAGTACATCAACTTTATGATAGTAAAATCTAAGTTATATGTATATAATTAAACAAGGAAATTTAATTTCAAAGTAACTCCAATTTAATCAACAAAACAAATATAATAAGAGGTTAATTTCACACTGTTGTTGATTTACTTTTTTGAATTTATCAATAGAATAGTTTATGATGGATAAATATGGACTGCCTTCTTTTTTTCTGAATGAAATTTTTATAGCTAAAATATTCCTTTTTTTTTTTTTTTTTTTTAACATTGCTGGTTTCTATAGTTTGGGTGTGTTTCAACTTTCTTCCACAAGGGGGCAGAAAGGAGTATTAAGTTGATGGTCTAAAAATGCCATTCAGTGCTTTCAAATTAGCTTCTCTTATATTAACAAAAAGGAGCATAATGGCCAAGTTATTGTTTGATTTACAGATAATTGGCATATTGCAGGGAGGAGACTTAATTTCACCCTTTTAAATTAAACAGGGAGATTTAAAAAGACATAAAATATTCATTAATGTTCGGTGATTATAAAGCAGTGGCATATATTTATTTTGCCTTTATTACTGTTTCGATGGGAAAATACTACAAATATTTCCGAAATCGAGTTGGCCATACTGACAAGTTGATATGTTTAAGCAGCGTTAATGCAATCTGCTCACACCTGATATCCTATGCAGAATGATTCAAAATGACTACATCAATTATTAAAAGAAATATTTAAAATTCTGTAAATGTGCCATTGTGTGCCACAGTTGGCTGAAACTGTTCTCCATGGCCTGGTATTTAGATTATCAAATATCTATTCAAACTTCAAGGATTTGAAAACAGTAAATCTTTTTCATACCATTTTATAAATATTATTTGAAAAAAGTTCCAGAAATATTTTTGCAAAGACAGGTATTCTCTAAGTCTTGGCAGGAATTTGGTTATTTCTTTTTATTTACTTATTTATTTTTCTTTGCTATTCCTTTTTTCTTCTTTTTGTTTAGTTGATTTAAAATAATATTTTCTATTACTAGTTGCTAGAAAAAAATAAGTCTAGTTGTTTCTGATATCTTTGGTTTTTCTAGAGTAAGTAGGTACACATCACCTCTTTTATTCTGTACTACTTAGAATAAGGATGTGGATCACACTTACTAGGCCTAGGATCACACTTACCAGGCCTAGTCCTATAACTTGTCTCCTTCAACTTGTGGAATACCTGGAGGGTTTCAGGAGGAGGACAAGATGTTCTTATGCTACAGCCGTGCAATCCACCGTGACACTTAAGTACAGTCTGTTTTTTGTTGTTGTTGTAAGATTGAAAGTCAGTTTGATTGCACCAAGATTAAAAAATAAAATCTTGAGACTATTCTGCAGTTTTATTTTATAATTGCATTTTTACTATTACTGTTAAAGCTTAATGATACCATGTATCTGAAAGGGTACATTAATCTTTGTCACCACTTTGAAAAATCTCTTGTCAGTCTTGTTTAATTGGTCCAAGAATGAATTCTGACCAATATACTACATTGGAGAAAGGAAGAAATTAAAACACAAAACAAAACCTTAATCTTTTTTCTAGTGTAGTAGTATTTTTTTTTGTGTGTGTGTTGTAGTGTTTTTGTGTTGTAGGTGAAAAAAAAAAGCCCCACCATTTTTGGGATATTTTAAATTTTTCATAGCGTTTGCATTTTTAAGAGAAAGCTTTTTTAATATTCCCCCCCATGAGAATTTTCTATTAAATGAAACAAGATTGAAATAGGCACTTATAATTTCAACTTTGAATTGGACAAAAATACATTTTTCAAAAAAAATAATGAATTAGAAAATAAAATTTAGATTCAACTTGAAATTCACATAAACTCCTCAGTGACTATGTTCCTGCAAGTTAGTGGTGATAAACTGATACTTGTACAAGTGTTTGTCATTCTGGCTCTGTGGTTTCGTGCTTCACAATGCAGGACTTGTGTCCTCTGGGTACTCTAGATTTTAATTTAAGCTACTGAGATATTGAAGTTATTTTTTCTTAAAGCTCTTTACAAATCCTTCCACTTAAATTATCCTGAGGAGAAGGGAATGACAGTTATAAAAAGATCAAAATGGAGAGAGTTGCAAATAGTCATAAGGAGAAAAAGCTTTTCTCTTTCCTATTATGGCAAAACAGCTTGTAAAAATTATCAAATATTACAACAACAGCTTTGTGACAACCTGTTTTCCACATTTTGGGGTCCTTATTTAGCTACTTGTCACACTTTAAAATAGTAAATTTCTTTGAAAATTTAAACAAGCTTACTTTAACAAATTTTCTACGTTGAGAATTTAGGTTTTTAAACATAATTATACAGATTCCAGTAATTCTTTCTGATACTATTTAAAATCTGTGGCTACAAATGCACTTGGGATGGGTTAAATTAAGGAAAAAGAAAAAAAGATTGATTTGCTTACTGCAAATCCTAAACCCAGGTGTCGAAAGGGTATAAAGTCCCTGAAATCAAGCCAACTTTTCTTGGAAACTGATTCTTTGTTGTCCATCTTAGTATTGCAAAATCTTTCTATTAGGCAAAATATTCATTTTTCTTAAAGAATAGATGTCATAGAAGCTTAAGGAATAAAGGCATGACTCAGAAGAACAATGATAAGAAACCTAGGTATTTTTGGTACAGAATCATGGAGTTTTATTTATCTATTAGAGTGAGAAGCATAAGGAATAGCTATTGGAATTATTTTAGTCTTTTCCAAGTTTCTTTTACCTCAACATTCTCATTGTTCCTATTAATGTTAGTTGGGTTCTTAATGGGAATGAAAGGGAAAAAATTGAAACCTATAAAGACATATCTTGCATGTAGCAGTGAGACATTTCATTACTAATACAATGTTGTACAAACTATTGATTGTGAAGTGGGAAGCCAGTGGAGTTTGAATGAGCAGCAAGAAGTGAACTAAATATGTAAATCATACTTGATTAATTTATAATGATTAATTGTGAAAAAAATGAGGCTAACTGCTATTCTGAAAATTTGAACCTTGAGTCAGGTTGTATGTTGTGCCTAGTTGTTTAACTTTCTCTGCTTACTTGGCTAATGTGTATTTCGGACTATTCTCCTTTAATGCTGGATGCCAGTAATAGTAATTAAATATGTTGTCTTTTACAGATCATACTAATGGGCGATTTTCTAGTAGTAGATTTGACTGTAGCTTCTTAACTAACATGCCCTTTCTGTAAATGTTTTAAGTTTTTTTTTTTTTTGGTTTGTTTGTTTGTTTTCCAGTATGGGGAGGATAGGGGATGCTGGCACAGAACTGAAGGAAGAGTGGGGTAGCTGAGAATGTGCGTGTGCAAGAGGGTAAATGAAGTTGTGTGCTTACTTAATTAAAAGTTTAAGTGGTTTGTTTTTACTGCTAGATAAATGGTATATATAAGCTCACTTAGAATGAACCAGTTTTAATTAGCATATACCATAGTTTGATTTTTTTTAAATTTGAAATCACAAACGACATCTTAGCAAGAATGAAAGAGATATAATTTGTTAAGCAATAGGCAGTAAATTCAAGCCTTTATTCATCATTCAAAAAAAGATTATGAGTTCGTCTTTTAAATATGCATTTATATTATTAGTTTCCCGTTACATTTTAAAACTGAGATCTGTAGTAATCATACCACTTCAAATAAACAAATTAGTGATGATCATTTTATAAATATTGAGATTTTCTGTGAATCTTAATAAGTTATCCCCTTAGGAAATAAGTTTAAATAATATTTA